TAACAAAGTATGATACCAATGATAAGAGCACTATAAATCAGAGTATCATACAGCCCTAATATGGTAAATCATAAAAACAGCCCCGCAGAGGAGTGCACTATCAGCGTATTGGTAAACTGAGGGCTCTTATGCTACTGGTTCGATCACTATACGGAGATGCATAGCCTTGCTGACGTCTTTCACCACTGTCTGTGTATTGCTTTCTGTTGTGTGATTTCCAGATGAAGAAATAGGTAAAGTTGTTATCCCATCTGTTTGTTTTATGCAAGACACCTCCCTCCTTTCTGCTAGAGAATATAAGAATCAGGTGCAAATGTGGTGGATTAAAATACAGGGACGCTCAGAACAGAAAGTGGGAAGATCAAGCCAAACAATCATAAAAATGTAGCATTGTATAAAATCAAATTATTCATAATTTAATTTGATTAATTTACAGATTTTCTTTTTATTCATTAGCTGTGAGCTGATAAATAACTTCTCAAGACATTCACACGTACACATCTGTGCATTTTACAAATAATTTAGATTGCAGTATAATATTTAATCTCCAAAATAAAGTTATTCAAGTTATAATAAGGACGGTAAGATTGCAAAATACAATAAAAATACTGTAAAAAAGTAATATTGTAAAATATTATTGCAATTGCAAATAATTATTTTCCATTTAAATACATTTTTAAATATTTATTCCAGCAATGGCGAAGCTGAATTTTCAGCAGTCATTACTCCAGTCTTCAGTGTCACATGATCCTTCTAATATGCTGATTTGCTGCTCAAGAAACATTTATTGTTATTATTATCAATGTTGAAAACTGTTGTCAAAAGAACAGCATTTACAGTATTTGAAATAGAAATCAGTTTAATGCATCCTTACTGAACAAAGTATGAATTTCTTTAAAAAACAATTATAATAATAAAATCAAAATCTTACTGACGTCAAACTTTTATATGTAACTACAGTATATTGTCAAATGTGAAATAGAATGAATGTATATTGTTAGACAATAGTCTAAAAGACAGTATTTATTGTGTAGATGGAAAACAGCATAGATACACAATTATTCCTTTATTATATCAACCTACACACTAAATTAGTAAATAAG